AAATTATGAACATTGCTCAACATCATGAAAATTAAACCTTATTTTCAATAAGCAATCCTGAAAAATATTTGGGGGTGCTTAACTTTTTTCCAGGTGTATATTTAAATTTGAGCATATTATTGAAAAGTTTATTGATTTTATTTTATAACAGTTTAAAAATCTCTGAATATGTTTTAACTTTATCTGTACTTTACACAATTCCCTTTCTTACAGCCTTTATAAACTGTTTTGTATATACAATTAATAATACTACTTGGTGAATCTGGTTCTGCTCTATACATTGTTAGTTCCAAGCTACTATTTCAACTCGAACATTGACGGCCACTGTGATTTCACAAGCATTTACTTGCATAATACCATTAATTTTTACTCAGTATATTATGATCCTTACTGTGATCTCATATCTAAACATGTATAACCAAAAAATTGAGCTAATATAAAATTAACATTCTTAACATAAGTTTTATTATCATGTTATGCACAAAGATGTTTTATTTTTGTTTCAAAGGAGATTTGTATTTTCAAACTTTATGGCAAGTTTTAATGATTAAAGCAGGAAAGGTCAGTGATAAAATTATTGCTAGTAAATTTGCTGAATAAAACTTAACAATGTGAAGTTTGTAAATTCTTGATGTTGTCAACTAAAACTAAAGATTAATTTTCTAAGCATTTATAAAATTTTGCTCACTAATCATTTACTAGGTATCCTTGAAGATAATGACATTTTTCACAATGCTCAGGCTGGTGTGCTCATCAGCACACAAAGTCATCCTGTGCTAAGGAGAAACAGAATTTTTGATGGCTTGGCAGCAGGTGTAGAAATTACCAACAATGCAACAGCTACCTTAGAATATAATCAGATTTTTAATAACAGATTTGGTGGCTTATGTCTTGCTAGTGGTGTGCAACCTATTTTGAAAGGTAATTTCATTAACAGTGATTATTTTAAAAATAATGCTGAGAAAGTGAGATAGCCTTATTAATTATATATATACACACTGGTGATTTATAAAATATCTGGACTCAGAAGGAAGTGTGTGTGTTGAAATATTTAAGTTGTCAGACTTTGAGGCATTAAAACTATAAAGTTAAATAGAAAACAGTGGCTTTTGAAGTTACATTTGTCTTGTAGAGACAAGGTTAAGTCTTTTTATGTTTTGTATATTGAGCTAATACTTAATATCAAGTATTTAATAGTGTAATATATTTATATGTAAATGAAATTATATAGATTATCTTATCTACATCAAAGTATATGGGCAAAAAATCGTCACCATATAACAAATGCAGAAATATAAAAAAGCAAAATAAATTTTTAAAGCAAAATATAAAACAGAATTCATATCCATACAGAATTGATCTGTTACCATGCCTAGTTAGTTACTTACTAGGAAGCTAAATTTTCTATATCAGTTTTTGATTAAAATACTTGCAATAATTCAAGATATATAAATTGTAAGCAGCTTAGCTGCAGTAGATGTGTATTTCCATCATGATATACTGTTATGTAAAGTAAACAATGCAATTTATGTATCAACTTTTGGTATATGTGGCTTAAAATATATAGGACAAATATCAAATCCTGTACATCCAAGGATTAATTTACGTAGATTGCAAAGTAATGAAGGTTTTCTATACACACTATTGAAATAGACAATTTCAATCTTCATTCTTTTTCTAATGTTAAAAGTACTGTTTTAGTAAAAAAAACTTTGAAATGCTGATTTATTAATAGAATGTGAAGATTATTTTATTTTAATAAAATATGCTTTCTTACCCTTGTATATTAAATCAGGATTTGTAAAATAAAATGAGGTGGAGGAAAACATAAAATATATTGAATTGTGTTGATAATCTTTGTATGGATTTGGATTCTGTTTTTGCTAAATGTATTAATGCTTTGAATTCTGTGATTACAAGAATCATTGAATTATATTTTGCAGAAACAAAACATCAGAATTCATCTTCAATTTCCATTTTAAAAATGGATGACTATCCGTTTTGTCTTGCCCTAAGAGCAAAACCGTACTTGTGCAGTGGGAGACTGGGTCTAAAATTTCTACCTGGAAAACTTGTAAAAGAGCCCACTCAAAAGAGTCCACTTAATCCCAAAACATAGTCAAAAGAATCAAATTAAAGTAAAGGTTTTAAGCAAATAAAATGTTACATCTGTTCAGTATTGTTGTATTTATGTATGTTAATACGTGCATAATACAAATACTAAAAAAATTTTAATAATCTTACAATAAAAATGAAAATCTAAATCATAGAACAACCAATCCGAGTAATTTACAAAGCATAATTTGAAATTGTTTTCAAGGTATAATTAAAATTGGAACGTGTGCATTTTTTAATGTGTGCACATATCACTAAAACAGTCAGAATTCAGTAATTTACAAAGCACAAATCACCTAGACAGCAAGCAAGCTTGATTTTCTTGTGTTGATGGGGTTCTTCCAAAGAATCTGGTTGGATACTGAAAAAGTGTGTGATTGGGACTGTTGACTTAGCAGTTTTGCGTAACATTTTCTTATTGGACTCGTCGTGTTTTTCAGCACCAGACTTGTATTTCCTCTTGCGTGAGCCATCCACCCTGAAATAAGAACATATGTTTGTAGATTTCAG